ACCGGCCGGCCGCACGGTGTGGAGAGGGGTGCGAGGGAGGGTAGTGCGTGCCTGTGAGGGGGGGAGTTGTGCCCCTTTCCTCCCCTACAGCGGCTTCTGGGTTGTTTTTCCTTATCCTTTCCATTGTTGCCCCTTCTTCATTATCCAGCAAGGAAAGGGGGCTGCTTTTAGCCAGCCGAGCTGGGTACCTCCAGCCAGGCGGGCATTTTGCCACAGTGAGCCCCTGCTGCGCTGGAGGCTGCTATGCTTGGTGAAGGCGGTGGCAGAGGAAAGAAGGAGAGTTTCCCAGGGTGCCTGCTTAGGACAGATGCCACTGTCAGCCAAGCCGGGGCTGGAAATGGGGTGCTGTGTTTTGGGAATGGGGAGCAGTGCTCCAGGGCCTGGGCCTGCATCCTCTGCTCTGGAAAGCTGTCAAAGGGATGCGCTTGCAGAAACATAAAAGCCGGTGGCTTGTGTTACAAATATACCCATGAAATTCCCAGCTCCTACTGATGGGGCAAAGTGTTGCAGCAGGAAAGGGTTCACAAGTGGCCATTGCAGTAAGGGGAGTGAAACTTAAAATGTGTTTTCAGTTCTGGTGTGTGCATTGGAGCTGTGAAGCCCGAGAGAATCACCTGGAGTTGCACATCTGGACAGCCCATACTAGCCATAAAGAAATTGTTGTTATAGGTATAATTATGGTTTTAAGTACATTAAAAGACTATGCGCTTACAAAGCTAAGTGTGCAAGTTAGGTAAATTCATGTATTTTATGTGATATGCAGGGCCACATGCAAAGAAGCTACTTTGGCAACCCTATCTAAGTTTTCAAGAGCTTAAGTTACCTGGTTTCAATAGCAGAGGTAGGGGAGGAATGGGAAAATTCTGTCATTTTTTGACCCTATAGGTTAACCTGATACTTCTTTTTCTAAATCTCTTCACTCTGGCAAAGGCCTCACACTAAAGTCTTCCACTTTCTCAGCACGTGATGTGAATATTAGGCTCACACAAAAGGTACTTCCCACCAGGAAGTTAAAACTTTTGAACTCAGCACTGTCTGCTTGTACTAGGTATTGTGTGTGAAATAAGAGTTTTCAGAGGGCAAAAAGACACATTTTCACAGCAATAGTTTCTTCCATTCAGAGACCATCCAGCTAACTGTCATACCTTTGCATGAAAGCTGAAAATGCCTGTTCTTATTAAAACAGTTGAAAGAATCCATTTAAAGCCAGCAGCCTGTTTTAACTGATTTTCTTATTGGAAATGGCTAGGATTTTTTGACTGAAGTGTTCCTAAACAATTTGTCCTGATTCTGATGCTTGAAATGGAGACTTCTGGACTAGAAAGGAGCAGCTTGGCAATAGTGTGAATGGCAGAATGTTATTTCCTATAAGGGAAAATGAATGGCAGCCTGAACTACAGATACATGCTATGATGTCTGTAAGTATATGATAGTGAGCTGTATGGAAATAGTTTTGTGATCATCACCTACAACGTGCAATTAGCAACCAAAACTGTACAGCCTAGACTGCTATAATGATGTTAGATAATCACACTTTCTGCGAACAGAGCAGATGTTAGGCTTGTGCGAATCCTGCATACAGGCTGAGATAATGTCCCCTCTTCCTACTTTCAGTCCCTTGCCCTGCTAGCCATTCAGCTTCTCCCTTTCCCTCACAACCTGTACAAGTCTGCCTGGTTGATTTTTTCACACCCTGGCTCAGCAAAAATACACGGGAGGGGAAAAGCAGAGAATTATGTGGGCATGCCTGCTGTTATGAATATCCAGGCAGAAAACTGCAGTGCTGCCCCACATTTTTGTGCTAGTTACAGAATGTGTCACCTTGGGCTTTGTAACCCTCAGTGCATCTCAGTGTGCTGTTAGGAGAACAATAATGTTCCACGGCTGTTTATGCCACAGAATTAGCTGTGTTCTTCACAGGAAATACAGTTTCTGTTTGAAAAACATTAACAACCCCCCAAAACCCTGTGGAAGTTCTTGTGGGTAAACACAATAAGCCAGGTTGTGCTTTATTCCCTTGTCATTTCTTTGTTTACCCTGTTTATTTCTTAAGCACTGAGACTATGGCTAGTACCAACAAAACTGGATGATGGCTCTGATGTGTTTTGTTTGTAGTTTCAGTCTGTGTTCTCATAAATTGTGGGGGTACATCCCTGCAGTCTGCTGACCTCTAAAAGTAAATGGGGTGTATGCAGATACACAGGATTCCCTGCAGGCTAAACCATTTGGACTGTAATCAGCAAGATGCTGGATGGTGCAGCCCTGAGGTACTAACCAATGTGAGTATGCATGGCAGAAGCTGTCCATGAGTCAAACACAAAGATATATTACAGCAGCCAGACAATCGGAGCAGCTCATAATATTTTGGAGTTTGAGGAGTAATGGGCAATTACAGCATATTACTTCTGTTAACGTTAGAGAAGATAAGATTGTTAGGAAGACATTTGAAGGTAGGGTTGAAAACAAGTGTCGCTTTGGTTGTCACACACAAAATTCTCTGAGGATATTGTATACTGTAGCACCGCTACTGTGTGTAGTTAGCCATACCCTTCTAACAACCATTTTCAGGAGATTTTGTAAACACCGAGAAATGATGCCCTTGCCAGAGTGCAACAATCCCTGAGCACACCCAGCTGAGAGATTTCTGCTTAGAAACATTTGCTTTTTCCATAGCGAGGGCCTAAGCTTGCACCCAGAAAGGAATTGTCATAGCACTCTCTGTCTGAACAGCTTCACATCAGAAGTGAGCTGTTGCACGCTGTCCTAACACCTAGATGTTTCTCCTACCTCATTTCACCCATTTTGTATTGTTGTTCCAGAGGCAGGAGACTATAGAGGTCTTATGAGTGCTGTCTGGTAACCCAACCGTTGCAGTGATGAGGCAGTGTGGCTCATGTGCAGGAGAAAGGTAAGACATAGTTTTGCCAAGAGTTGGCTGGTGCTAGCAAAGGTCCTGCCTCACAGTACTCTCACAGGCAAAATTTCTGCCCACATCAAGAGTTTTGGCTGCATGTTGCCTTTTGTACTGAATTCTAGGTTGATATACCTTGTTAGCTGAATTAGAATCCATTCTGGAGCTTTGGAAATTTGGAAAGTTACAGCTTTTTGTTTCTTTCATGATTGCTACTAGCTTAGCATTAAACTTTGATAGGGCACTGCTCTGAATGTGAGGGATTTTTTAGATAAGGAATTCTTCTCATGGACTGACAGCCAACATCTCAGATAGTTATCACAGCCAGTAAATGATAAACGTGTGTAGCCTGGTTCCCCGCTGGAAGGGAGGATCAAGAGAGCCACAAAAGCCTGTTGAGCTCCTGACATTTCCATCTGAGCACAGGACAAAATGGCTTCACCCTGGCTAAACATAACCCAGTGTTTAGCCCTGATAAAACATACCCAAGTTAACTGTTGCCCTGAGGACTGCAACACTTCAGATATACCTACACTATCAACTCATAGCATATTGCCAGGTCCTGATCCTCTTATTGCCCATACTAGTCAAACAATTGACTGACATCAACAGTCTGTCTTTAAGTATTAAACAGATACTTCATCTATGGGGATAGTTTGCTCAAGGGATAATTCATTCCCAAGCACTATGGATGAGATTGCACCAGGGTTAACACTGCACAGCTTGGCCTGGCACTGGTGATCCTGCATTCAGGTAGATGCATTTACCAGTGTAGAAATAGCCACCAAATCTGCTATGCAGGCCCTCCCTGAGTGCAGATAATCCTCAAAGCAAATAAAAATTCTAGAGTGTTGTGACTGTGTGCCTCAGATATTAGTATTTTTCATAAAGTAATGAATTGAGAATCTCAGTATTTTCTTAACACACAAGGGCTGATGAGAAATGCCTCACTGGCCCCCAGCTGGACTAATATGAAAAACACAACTTAGACTCGATGTAGCTGTCAAAGAGCAAGGAGTTTAAAGCAAAGTTTTAATTGCCTCCCCACACAAAAGAAAAGTTGAAAATACCAGTTGCTCTTAAGGGCTGTGTGTTTCAGCATGTTTCATATTTTCTTCCCAGGGGACAGATCTAGAAGGCAGATAGAGTACTCACGAGTTGAAAAGCAATTATATATTATACAAGATGTTTAAGAGCAGCTTCAAGGCCATCTTGCTAATCTCTTTTATTATCCTCTTTTTTTTTTTTTCTTGGAGAGGCTAAAATCTCTTAAGGACAGCTAGCTTTTTTGCTTGCTTCCTACTGGAGGTCTGGCAGGCTGTTGTTCATTCTCTCCTTTCCTTGCAGTTACCAATTTTCTAATTAAGTCTCTGCGCCTGCCCCCATTAAATCAATCAGAACATCGCCACTGATTGCAATGGGAACAGGAGCAGGCTT